TCTGATTGGTTAGTGTGGTGCATTGATTTTGTTGTGTCAGTTACGGCCGATAAAAATCTCATGCTACAAAAACACGTAATGTAACGCTAATATAAATGCCTTTCATAAAGCCGTCCATAATGCTTTCGAGGAAGTTACTTACGCGATGGTATGATTTGAGATGCCTCACCATCTCACGCAGAGTTGCCTCAGTATCTTCATTGTCAATCTGGTTTTTACCACAATTAGCATCCTTCATCTTCTCCTCTTCCCCCTTCTCCTCCTGTAAGCTGTGACCATAAGTGCTGTCCTGGGTGTACACTATCATCTCCATTTTGAACTGAGTCCTCACCAAAGACTCTGCTGTGGCAGCTTTGCTCTGCTTTATGGCTTCAATTTTAGTCTGCAAATTAAAAACAACCATGTTTTATTTTGCCATAATGTTGTAGAAAAAGGCAGTAATGCTGTATTTCATGATTCAGTTGTTCAGCATTCTAATATTCTGGATGTACTACAATAGGATGACAACCTGATATAATTATACCTTGGCAATTTTGAGGAGGTTCGGGTATCCAGTGAAGCTCTGTTGAGAAAGTTGTACAAATGCTCTCCTCACTATATCTGTAACACAAAACAAATATCATTTTCATTAAATATGCTGTGGCTACCAGGGTTGGGGCTATTCTGGAATGCATTAATCAATCCCAGTCCAAATCAGGAAATAGAACTGGAGTTGTGATTGGAAAGAAAACAGTGGAACAAAATTGGAATTGAATTTGAATTTCAGGGAGATTTCAGGGAGACACGGTATAGAATATGAAGTCTTATGTTGAGTCAGTTTCTCTGCTTTTTACCCAAAGCTTCTTTAAGCTTCTTTACAGCAGGCTCCTCCATCTGGCTGATCTGCTCCTTCATTAGCATCTCAAATGTTTTGTAGTTGACAAAGCCAGGAAGCTCTCTGCCCCGATACTTAGTTTCATACTCTTTCATTTCTGCTTCAATCCTGTTGTTGACTGTAGGTACAAAAAATAAATTTGTAATCTATAGACACCATTATAGTCAATGTCATGAATTTTATAGTTGCTCACTATCAACACTAAGGATAACATTCATGTTATCGCAACTTGAACTTGACACCGAGGATGTCATGTGACCACACCTGAGCAAAGGAGGAGCTTTTTATTTCCATTGAAACAGGATCGTTAACAGCAGCATTGCTGATGAAAACCAAAGTGCTTGAACCCTTCTGTGAGGTTAGCAAAATAAATACATCAGCTCATATGGTCTTAAGCAAGAAAACATTTAACTGGAATAAAATCTGAGAAATATATATGAAATATGGTACAATATATTATATACTGATCCGTAAAATGTTTTATTATAAATGGGACTGTGAATCAAAGCTAATAGCTAATCACACCATTTTCTGTGATAAATCGCACCTAACAATAAAACTTAAACTCAAAAACATTTATAAATTGAACCTCCAAATTAATGTAAAGTTTACAGAAATGGGGGTAGATGGGTCATTGTCACCAATTCATTACCATAACATTAATTTTCTCTATTTTTTAAATTACTTTGAAAACAGACTCAAGTAATACAACTTCACTGTCTCCACTATCGATTTTGCCTCTGGTGTAGATAATCGGTTTTGTTATGTCACCATTTATTTTTGGAATAAAAGTTTAGGGAAAATTTGTTTTAAAAAATCATCAAATCGGAGCGACAAAATGGCATAGTATTATTAAACTTAAAAGGTTAAGATAATGTCATTTGAGCTACACAAATAATTAATATGTTAATTTTAACTTGTGATGTACAGATTATTCATTTACAATAAAAATACTACTTGCAAGCAAATACTGGCTGAATTCCAGTGTTTTCAAAAAGGCTTGATGAACAAATGGCAATTAAAAAAAGCAGAGGGTTTTCTATTATAAGAAGGGAGGTAAAAAAAATTTTTATAAAACACTATGGCGATTAATGGCGAATACCACATACACTGGCATGTATTCAACAGACAGATCAAAATAATATTAAATCACAACCATGTGACTGATCTAAAATCTTAAACCGACTTGGTAAATGGCTCAAAAAACAGAAGCCTGACAACCACAGAAAGTACACATTATAACATTAAGATGGGTATTTTTATCCTATGTATGCCTATGTTACCCAATGAGAGGGTAATGAATGTTTCAATTACAGCACTGAAATCTGGGTGCAACGTAATGACTTAAACTCTCACGCTGCTTACAACCAGGAAGGAATATTACAGGTTTCTCTTAAAATCCATGATGATACTATTCTCCCTTTTGGGTAACAAAATATGGCATGCATTAACACAATAACAGAAATAATACAGTGGTATGACTTTAAATTATCACAACACATAAACACAATAAAATTTCTCAGTCTAATTATAAATTAATGTTGCATATTCAGATGGCCCTTTGAGCAAAACGTCTGGCAATTGTATGAGGATCTCATAACTAATAAGTGAATTCAATGCTCACATTTTAACCCAGAATGGTCAAGGAGATTCTTCCACTCTCCAAACTCTGTTCTCAGTGTGGATAACAGATTTCCATTCTTCAGTTCTTCTCCAGTGCTCAGGTTGATAATGTCTTGTGTGAATTTAGTCAATATCTGTTTGTTTTTAATGTAGAGTTAATGGTGTAATTAGCACTGATATTTGCTTTCAAAAAAAAAACATGATATTTTTGCATTAATTAAACACTCAAAAACCAAGATACGATTTTAACACCATTAAACAGTTAAATAAAGAAGTCCACCATTTTAAAAACTGAGATTTCTCCAAAACACATCAGTTTGCTTAAGGTTGAGGCTGTAGACCTGTGGATCTGTTGATATAATGTGTTACTCACATTAGTCAAAAAGGCCTTCTTTTCTGCACCATCTGTCGGAGGTCCTTCTCCATACTTCTTGAGCTCTGCCTGAATATCAGCCATTTTTCTGTCAATCTGGACATCTAGTTGGGGCAGGGATTTCTAAAAAGAAAAAAAAATCAGATGACATGATGTGCTCATGCAGTGCTTGTTGCAATGGGATGTGAAAAGTACTCCTTGAATCTAAAAGATGTGCATCAGTGCAATCATTATATGGCAAGGTGTCTTTGCCCAGGTGATGCTGAATCTTTACCTGAATGTGCTGCACAAGCTCCAGAGTCAGCTTTTTAGCCAGATGTGGAATGGTGGCATAACCTTCCTTATAGAGGATGCTATAGAAAGTATCACAAAATATCATAAGACACTTATTTGTAATGCTTTTTATCAAATCAATCAAAATATTAAAAAGACAATATTACTCGAAGTGGCTGTGTCCTTCAAAAAAAGCTTTTTCTTTGTCAAGGGCTTCAGTAAGTGACACCTTATCTAAAATATCCATCTGTCCCCTGCACTTGACAATCATGTAGCCCTTTGCAAGGTGAATGACCTCATTGAGGATGATTTTCACAACTGTCTCCTCTGTGCCCTTGTCCACCAGATCTGGTTTTGTCAGGATACCTGTCCAAATTGGAGAAATGCAAATTGGTCAAGTACAGGACAAGGTCGCAGTACAAGATGAAAAAAAGCTGCAGTAGTTATTATACAGATAAGAATCTAAATTTGTTGCTGTCGCAAAACAACTGCATTGTATTCGGCGGACAAGCCTGTCATTTGGTCCGGCTATCTGCCCGCCCACATTTAAGACATTTATTTGGTGAAGTGGTGGACAAGGCAAGATCTATAAATGCTGAATTAGCCATTGTAGACACAAGTGCTTAGCATACCTAGAGTCCGTTCACCATCAGGGTCCACTTCTTGCGCCATCTTTAAGGCTTCGGTTGTTGCTATGTCAACATTGCATGGCACCACAACCAGATTAATTGTCTCCTGCTTTGTGATGAACGTCTTTATCAGGTTCTTGATCTGAAGGAATTGGATATGCATCTCAAGAAATTAAACAGACATATTGTTCTATTCACCGTCGGTTGTATACACCAATGTTTGACTTTGATTTGTTTGAAACCTTTACACTTAATGTAGTATTAAAAAGATACTTTAAAAATCTTAGAGAAGGTTTCAAAGTCCACATTAGAGAAGAGGAACCTCACTTGTTCCCCAATGTCATCTGGTTGACCCTTCACAGCAACTCTGGCAATTCCTGGCAAGTCGATGAGCGTGAGATCAGGAACATCAGGGGAAGAGATCTCCAGACTTATTAGTTCTTGAGAGATACCCACACCAACACCTGCAATCTCATCTTGGGCTGTTCAATGAAGGTGTTGAAAAAGGGGAAAGCAGACACCTAATTCTAAGTAGGTATCATGAACAGTAATGAAACAGAAAAATATAATCATTATATAATCATCCACCCATCCAATTTCTACATCCGCTTGTCCTGTCCTTTTATACCTCAGAAAGCACTCTCCATGCACCACCATTATGACATTGTGCCTGATCGATACTGGGTAAGAGCTTCTGTTATCTTCTGATCTGTCTTCTATTTTTTTCATTGCATTTTTCTCTCTTCATACTAGTGTTTGCTGCACATTTGGATGTTAGAGTGTTGATGCTGGTGCCAATTTCATCAATCTTTCTTATGTTTTGTTTTTAGATGTATAATTTGATTAACAGTGTTGTGTGAACTTGATTTTGTACCTCCTCTTGATAAATTAGTAGAGCAGTTTGCAGTCCGCTATGTTTTGGATTTTATTGTTAACTTTGAAGTATTTCCACACCTCATATATTTTATGGCAAAGCCCTTTTAACGTTAAAAGGATTCCCTTAACTATTCAAAATTTCATTTTGGATATTTGTAAATGTATTATGGATAGTCATAATTTCAGTATGAATACTAAGAATGATAATTCAAGATATCTTCAGTTACAATGTGACTAGGTGAAACAATTCAAGATATCGTCACACATACAGAACGATAATTTGAGATATCTAGTTATATTTTGATTAGTCAAAATGATTAAGATATCTGAGTTACAGTTCAGACTAGTCTAATTTTATGTGCATGTCGTGACTGATCCAAAACTACGTGCGTCAAATTTAAAAATGCCAATTGGCATTGTACAGAATTTTGCACTAAAGTGCCATGAAAATGAAAGAACGTTTTATCTAAGCGTCTGTGGTGAATGAAAAATTAGTTCTATTAATACTTGCTCGACAAACATTTAAGCGTTCACCATCATGGTCTAATAAGGACTGGATTCTATCACTTTTTTGACTCGCAGATTGGATCATTTCTTTTTTGGATCAGCAAAAAAAGTATACGGGGGACTGTCAGCTGCTTTTAACACGCGTACGCTCATTTGAACATGCTCACATGAACCAAAACACGCAACTGCTTTGTCTGTATCTTTTCATAAGAATCTTACGGAAGACCATAATGTCTGGTCCAAGTTAGCAAGTTGTAATGCTAAATTTAAGTTGTGCACCCATATCGTTAATGAGTTAACACCACGGACAAATGTTAACTTGGCGACACCATAGTTATTTGTGTTAAGCTAAGTTTTATGGGGGTTAAGTGAGATGTTCTGACAGGTAGATCCAGGCTTCAAACGTTAACATTAACTTAATAGTTGCCCACCACTGTTCCTGGCGATCGAGCGCCCAGAGATTAGGTCCCAGAACGTGGGATGAGCAGCCCTGCAGGGGCGTTGCTAGAGATTTTGGGCCCCATGAAAGCATATCATATTAGGCCCCCCAGTCCAAACCAATCCAGTTATTTTCCTAATTTTTTAGGGCCCCTGTCACTCAGGGGCCCTTGGAATCGTCCTAGCTTTCCTCCCCCTTACGGCGCCCCTGCAGCCCTGACTCAGTTCATGCATCTTGGTAATGTGAAACAATCAACTTATGGCACTGTGTGTGAGTAAGATATTGCCGCAAGATATGCACATTTAACTAGATGGCAACTGACAATAAAAAGTGGAGATTTTTCAAATGTTTACATTCAGACTCACATTTTAGAATTTAGTGATTAGTGGTCAGGTACCACAACAAAATGTGTTCTCTGCCTTTAACCCATATGTGACATAGCAGGGGGCAGCTAATTCAGCACCCGGGGAGCAGTGCTTGGGGGTGGTACCTAATTACTTAAGGCAAGGGCGTACCTTTGGCTGGAACATTGGGGGAGGTCGAGGTCTCCACCCATTACAGGGGAAACATGATTATTGGGGGGGTTATATTGGCTGGATCTGATTATTGGGGGGGTCATGACTTAGGGTACCTCAGTGGTGCCTTGCTGGTCGGAGATTCAAACCAACAATCTTCCAATTCCAAGTGCGCTTCCCTAACCATTAAGCTAGCACTGCCAATTTTAAAATTGATTTAATAGCTGGATGCATGCTGGTAAAATGTTTACATGTTCTTAAGCTTAGTATGTTTTTCTCCTCTTTAAGCCTCAGTTGTCAATCATACCAAGTGGAGAAACTCCACTCCCAGTGAGATACTCCACAACAGGTTTCCATCAATCGTTTACATTGTCCCTTTTGCCCATATTACAAGGGGGATTATGCGAAAGTGGTAATTACCCACCTGCATAGCATCCATGTTACAATACATTAGATACATATTCCAGCACTGTCTTTCTCAGAGTGTATGTGAACAACATAAGCTTGTGTTTTCAGTATATTTGTTACTGATCAAGAAATATTGAATTCATATACAGAGATATGGAGTGCTTATAAACAAGATTCTAAAAAGGCAGACTGATTTTTGCACACCGTGTATTTTTCCATTTTATCTTCTCCTCGCTTTAATAAAGGATTCGAGGATCATGAGGAATGTCCATACTGTCTACTCTTGATACATGGAGAACAGCGATAAATTCCGAGGATAAGTTCAGCCCACCAGATCCTTTCCAGGTAATTTCATGAAGTCGCGGAGGCAATAACGGTTAATTCTGTTTTGACTGGATCCATCTTTTAGAGTGTATCAGGGGATGAGGGATTTCAAGCTCCTTTTGAATTTTCTTGTAATTATATGGCAGACATGCATGTATTTATTGTGGAAGTACTGGAGAAAATTAAAGCGACTCGATCCCTGCAGTGTACTGTGCTTGCATTGCTACTGAATCAGAAGATGGGTGCTAGGAGTGTGTAAATAAAATTGTGTAAATAAAGTGCTAAAACAACCAGTTTGTCTTTGCGATTGCCTTATGAACAATTAGCTATCCTTATTTTACATTATAACCATACTGTATATGTAGCATTGTTACGCTTATTTATCGGTTGTGTTTATTTTATGGATGTACTGAATAATTTACAAATTTACAATTTAGGGTCAAGCGTAATCCATCATACCTGATTATAACGTTCCAGTGCTTCAGAAGCACGAATGGGCACGTCGGTAGTAGCCTAGCTGTCTCTTTTAAATATACATATCACGGGTTCGTGATCCTTGTCACCGCGACCCCCTTGTCCTGCACACACAGGTATTTCCTACCAAAAAACACCTGATTCTACACTGATAATTAGATGTTGGATCAGGTGTTTTGAGGTAGGAAATTAAAGTGTAGGACAGGGGACCAGGAACAAGTATCGATGGTCTTGATGTACCATGATAATCGCTGTCTAAAACAAACATGCTAACGGCAGTTAAATTAAACAGAAGTAGCGGTATCACAATGAGAACGGCATTCAACCAAGTTAAGCAGCAGTCGTGGCACTGTAGGCCAATGAGAATTATTTGTATTCGTTGTCTCTCACGAGAAAATGGTTTTAATGCATACAACCAAAGTAGAAAGCCGCCAGCAAAATTTGTTTCCTGGTGTGGGCATTGATGTAAAACGTAATGGCGTAAGAACCAATGAAATGGATGAGGCGCGTTCCTGTCAAGGGCGTTCCTGTTTTAACCGGAACGCCCCTCAGTGCAATTGGACCCTTCTCAAAGAAAGAGGGAAGTGAAATATACTAAAATGCCATGGGTAATTCTTTCGAATCCAAAGGTTTTTTTTTTTCTTTTTAATCGGATTCCCACCGAAAATCTAAAACACCTCCAATGAGCTACGCAGAAGGGGGGATTCTCCCCTGTTGTGGGAAGAAAATCCAGTCCTTAAATTCAAGTCCTTTACGCAGTTTCGTAGCATCGCGATTCCGCACAGATCATGGGTCAACTACGGTCCGTTATACAGTACCACTAGCCCTCATTCAGTTATCCCTCTCGCATTGACACAAAAATGACAAGCATATGACTTGCATGGAATGTTTCAAAAGAGTCCCACAAGTACAACATTGTGCAAATTTAAATCCCAAACTGGCAATCCTACTCAGAACAGTTAAGGTAACGCTGAAATGACAACGCATACATGAAATCTGTATAACTATATACTTGCGATTTGCCTAGTGAATACTCAATTTTATAATTTACGATATCTCTAAAACAAGCTATTGTTAGGTATCTAGGTGTACCTTAGTTTCAGATATCTAAGATAGAATTTAAGATATCTTTAGTCGTGAGTAATATAAGATCTTAAATCGGCGTTATGAAGATACGTAAAGAGGCATCTTACCTTCTCGAATAAATTTCTCCACCTCAGAGGGTTTCACAATTTCCATTTCTACTTCTTTGTATTTAATTTTACCATGCCATTCATCCTCTGCTTGTATTTTCTTCATCTTCAGTTCCAGGGGACATCGTGTCACAATTCCTGATTAAGAAAGGTAATTTTACAGCTTTGCTACAAGACTCCAGTTTCCTACATTTCAAGGAAACCACAAATTAATTTGCATAAGTATTTTCAACAGCAACACAAAAAAAGTAAAGTAACCATCCTATTCAGCAGAATATAAGAGAAACCATTTGCTAACCCTCATGAATTTATAAAAGGAAATTCAAATGTTTAAACTTATAAAAAACTTTTTAAACTGATTAATAGACATTTTTGTGTTAGATAAGAGACAGTTCAGCTGACACTGACTCAAATAGTTACAGGGAACTTGAAGCTGTCTGCAGCTTACAGGTATCAGAAAAATAACTAATATTTCCCAAACATTACTAATCAGGAAATGATTCCATATGTGCACCATTGCATTGTGACTAACATATGCACAGAAAAATATAGTTTATATGGGCCCAAACTGTAGTGGTGCAACTACAGATATATTTACATAATCTAATATGAATTCAATTTTTCTAATACAATTTTTGATTATTCTGTAGAATATTCTGTTTATAATGTAAAGAATTAAATCACATACCTCAATATATGAATATAAACATTTTTTTATGTTTAACATAACTTTTACTGACATTTGTTTCAGACTGGTAAGCTCAGGTAAGTTTCCTTTCGGTTGTTGTTGGACCGTGAGGTTTGTGTTATAAAAATGCTCTTCATACACAACATGCTGCTGTGCTCAATTTACTTCTCCATATGCCACACAGCACAGATTTCTCACATGTGAGAAAGGCAGATTCCATCAGGGCTTGTGGGTTACGGCACTTACCGCTCCCCCTTGGCAGTGCCACTCCAGACAGAGCCTCCAGCACAGAGCTCTTCCCTGAGCTCTGGTCCCCAATAACAGCAATAGCTGGCAGAGCCAAATCCTGCTCCACGCCCAGTGAGCGCAGGGAGTCGATCAGGTCGATACAGGGACGCACTTTCTCCTCATAGTATTCGTTTAGGATGTTAGTCACGCCACATGGCTTAGGAGATGCTGCTGTTTCTAAACAACGTAAATTTCATGTACTGTTAGATCATTAATTAAAATAAAAAAGAAAACAACACCAATTTCTATGTAGCAGACTTCTGCTGTATTTTGGTTATTACATAGGTAGGTAGTTAACCATTTGTATTATGCATAAATAAAATGATCATTTAACTGTTCCTAGCAATCATTGTTAAAAATGCCATGTTAACCTGTGGGACATTTTAAATAGACATATCCTACCTTCTGGTTCGCCTAGCTCCAGATCATCTGACAAAGCATAACTGAGTGACCTGGATTCTGTGTAAAAAAGATATAAAGGTCTCACTCATTATAACATTGACCCAAACTCCCAGCACAGAGCTCTCCCCAAAGCACTGGTCCCCAATAACAGCAATCAAATCCTGCTCCACGCCCAGTAAGCGCAGGGAGTCGATCAGATAGTATTGACAATAACACAAACAAGCAGCTACGTACAATGTCCCAGCCTGCTGCAGGACTGCAATATGAATATATTTTGTGAATTATATACTTTCATCATCACAGAAACAACATTCACATTATATCTGAGAGAAGCCCAACATTTCTACGACTGATATCTCCAAAACTAGACAACTCCCAGCAGATCAACATAGATCGGCAGAGAGCACTAAAGCCCCTCTAAAACATATATATTTTTCAGCTTTGGGGTGAACTGTCCATTTAATATTTTCATGCTGCAGAGTTTTTTTTTTAAAGTGTGGCGAGATTTCTGTTTGATAACACCGTGGATCTCCAACTCCGTAGGGTTAACAATCCTAATAACAAATATAGTGGTACCATCAGTTCTCAGATTCATTAGAACTCGAATTTCTTAAAAGTCGAACCAACCAGTTCGAAAAAAATTTAGCTAGAACTCTGAATCTCAGAAGTCAAGCCGTGATCGCCGACCTAGGATAACTTGTACGCGCGGGGAAATGAGTCTCTCAGCGGAAACAAAGGGTAAGGCTTCATGCAGTCTCAGCTTTGCATCCGCTGTGATAGCATCATGCATGTTTACACTAGCTGAATACATATATATATTTAGACAATGATAGACAGTAACAGTAATTAATATTATATAATAAAATACATTTAAAAATAAAGATTTCTTATTAATTAATTTAATAGTTATAATAAACCATTAATACATTTGATTATAATAATATTATCGTGCCGAGTGGGGACGGAACGGAGACAAAGGCGCAGACGTCAGGGTATCGGGGAATACGGGGTTTAATTACAGGTAAGGCAGGCAAAATGCAGACGGACAATACAATGACCGGACTGGGGAAACAAACTGAAACGCGGACTAAATACAGAGGACTAATGACAACAACCAGAAACAGCTGATCACACTGGGATTCCACACTGGGTTAACGAGGGGGCGTGGCACACGGAAGGAGCGGACAACCGGGGCAGGACACATTGTTTGAATTATTTTCTTACTTTAAAAATGACTGTTTTGATAAATGTACTTAGATGTGTTTAGTACAGTATATGCTCTTCTGGTTTTATCCGGTTCATTCTTGTGTTTAAATGCTAAAAAAAACATATTTAGGTGTATTTTTTTTGGGGCTGGGAACCAATTAATTGGTTTTCCATTATTTCTTATGGGGAAAATTCGATCGCAAGTAGAACTTTTTAGGATTCGATCCGGAGTTCTGAACGGATTAAATTCGAGTTCTGAGGTACCACTATACCATATTATCGTGTCTGGCAGGTGTTCATTAAACATACCTTCAAATTCTCCCGGTTCCATGTCGAATAACAGAGCTGGGCAGAGTGTAACAGAATCTGTGTAGGAAAGATATAAAGGTCTGTCACTCAAGAAAACAGCAGAATCTGGGAGGTTTCATTGGAGAAACTAGGCATCAAGCTCATGTAATGCTTAAGACTGCGCATGGTAAAAAGCAATATACTCATACATCTCTCTGAGTCCATATCTTTATAATAATGCATTCCATTCCAAATGTATTCTCCTTTATTTTATAGTAGATAAAAACTACATTTTGTGGTCGTTTAATTACAATTATACATATTTTCATAGCAGGTATAGTTTTTTTTACCAGTTTGCTTTTTCTTTTAGTGACTAAGTTGCACAACTTTACAGAACGGTTATGTTGTACAGTATATTACAGTGTAACACAAACACACAACAAAAGCTAGAACATTGTCAAAGCAGGAAGGCACATCTGTGGTTTCCATTGCTGTCAGTTTTCACTCTCATCCTGTCCAATAAATGCCAGCTCCTGATGATCAAAGAATGAAATAACACAAATCAATCTTTTCAGAACCTCATGATTTTTCCTCACCTTGTCGTTGTATTTGGCTGACTGGAGAGGCACTTCTTTTTCGATCAAACTATCAGTCTTCAGTAAGGCTGTCACTTTTTAAGACCTAGAAAGGGGCCTGTCTTGCACGTCACGGTATTTCCCAAAAAGCCCCATCACTTGCTCCACCCATCTAATCTGTACTCATCCCACGTTCAACAACCTGTACAATTTCTACAAATACTGGATGCAGTACCGGTCCTAGTCCATGTGGCACCCTAGACGAGCACCACCAGCAGCGTCCTTCATCTGAGGTAAAGTGAAATTAACTGGCAAGTTGTAGCCCCCTCAGAAATCAGTGCCGTTGGCAGCTGCCAATGTTTCCAACAGGATTAACCATCCCTGACTGGATGGATCACCTGGAAATGTGAAAGTTAATAAATATGTTTTTACTTGAATACTTGGGGTCACATATTCATTCATTGCACATCGCATTTGCAGGCATTTTGCAGAATCTTTCTTCACTAATTAAGTGGTTCCTTTTATTCCTTTGTGTATATCTTAGTGACCGTGTCTGAAAATGTGATTGATATTGTTTTTTTATATATATTTAAATATTTACATCCTATTTATTTCTCTTTTGCACATTGACCAACATTTTCCATGACATAACAGTAAGTTCAGAATCTGCAGAGCCCTTGAGGGGCTACGGACAGTTTTGCATTTTCATAATCACAATGTACATTTAACTGACACTGTTACATTTAACTGTCACTGTTACGTCCTGCCAATTATGTCTGCCTTACCCTCCTGATTCCTACCTAATGTGGCCCTGATAAACCACGTCTGTTGCTTACTGCTTCTCAATTGTCTTTGTGCTTAAGTACCTGATTGTCTCATCATCCTCAGTCCAGTCGATGTTGAACCTTCCTGTTGCTTGTGCCCTTCAATGTTCCAGTCCTCCTGTTTTGGGTCCCTCATGGTCCTGTTTCCAGTTTCCAGTGCCTGTTTAATCAGTTCAATGACCCCTTTTTCTTTCGCCAAATGCCTGCCCTCGAGTGCTTCATGCCACATGTTGTGACAGATGCTTATGTATATATAGTTCTCACAGAATGTTTTGGGATGTAAGAATACTGGAAACGTATTGATTTTATAACAAAAATTATTAAAAAATTATTAAAATTCATTATTCAGTGTCACGCCCCGCTCCGTCCGCTCCCGATGTGTGCCACGCCCACCTCATTACCTTCTGTTTCGCCCTAATTGTTCCCACCTGTAGCTCGTTCTGTTACCTAGTCTTGTGTATTTAGTCCGAGTCTCAGTCTGTATTCCCCAGATCTGTCATCGTTGTATGGTCCGTCGTTGTCTGCACCTGTCCTTTTACCTACAATAAACCCTGCACTGGACCTTCTGGCTTCATTCGCTTGCTTCCGTGCTCGCGTTCCATCCCGAAGCTGACATTCAGTTATTTACAAAAAGTACATATTACATTAGAAACAACTAGTACCTTTAAGTATAACATTAATTTCAAGTAGTAATAAATTGAAACCCAAATTATTGTTCCAAAAGAGCTCTTCTGAGTTAAAAAAAAGTTCATTGATAAGCAGTCTTATGATACATCTGACATTCTCAAGACTATAATACTATTTTTCAAAACAGTACCTAGTGACTTTTTTGTTTGCTATTGTACAGTCATAGGATCTGAAAAATGCATGCGAGTGCTTTCTTTCGATAGTGAACTGTACATACTGTAATATGCTTAGCTCAGCAAAGTTGAAACTATTGTCTTTGACATGAATAAGTATCAGATTGCTAAAGACGAATGGTCAGTCACTGACAATAAGAAAGTGGGAACTGACTGTCATTCAGAATTTATTTCATTGGTGGAATTATTTTCTTTTGAGACATGGTGGGTGGCATGGTGGTACAGTGGTTAGCGCTGCTGCCTCACAGCAAAAAGGTCCTGGGTTCAATCCCGGGGTCTTTTCTGTGTAGAGTTTACACACTCTCTCTGTTCATGTGGGTTTCTGCCAGGGCCTCTGCCTTCCTCCCATGGCCCAAAAGTGTGCAGGGTGGGCTGATTGGTGAGTTTAAATTGGCCCTGTGGTGTGTTGGTGACTGCCCAGGGTTGCTTCCCACCTGTGCCCTTTGTTCCTGGGATAGATTCTGGGTGACCCCAGTTGGGATTAAGTGGTTACAGTGAATGACATGAGCAAATAGTTTTGAGTAAGTAACAGACTTTTGCAGATAAACCACAGTGTTGTACTATATGCATAAACTGTTTTGAGAATGGTTCATGAAATGTGCCAAGACAATTGAAATCGAACAATTGAAAGATAAAGTTGCTGAGCTTGCCGGTGCAGATTATCAGAATGATATGATATTGTTTTCTATTCTATGGAAAATGAAAGATCGATCTACGGGCGAGATGATGAGATAAAAACATGTTGTGGGCCAGAACTTTTACACCTCTTATAACTGGTGAATGAGCTGACAAAGTCCCATGTCCAGTTAAATCATCTCCATTATTTCCATAGTTGTGTCTTTAGCTCTGGTGCCTCTAACTCTGAATACTGATAAAACTTAAATGTCAGCCTAACCGATATGTTTGCCAATATGTTGTGCATCTCCACATATGAATATTGTTTGTTCCATCTTCATAAAAACAATATGTAATAAGATTTTTGTGTGTGACCTGCATTACATGCAAAAACCATTGGAAATAGTGTACAATTTTCATACTTAAGTAAAAGTACAGATAACACACCAAAATGTTATTAGTCAATAATTAAAAGTCATCCACTACAACACTACTCAATTAAAAGAAAAAAAATGTCATTTCAAAAGTACTTACCAAAAGTAAAAAGTACTGCACGTTACAGTTTTTCCTTAAATGCTTACACACATCTCTGATTGCTCTGCTCAGAAAATGGTTTAACACATTTCTTGTTTTACACACTGCTCTAATAAAAACACATGGTTG